TGGGACTCTCCCTCCACTGGGGTAAATGTTGTGTGTATGTGTGTGTGCATGTACACGAGACTCCCTCCACTGGGGTAAGGACCGTGGGGGGGGGGGTAAGGACCGTGTGTGTGTGTGTGTGTGCGCGCGTATACACGGGAGTCTCCTCCATTGGGATAAGGACCCCACCTTGCAGGGTGCAGGCACAGCCTGGGCCACATACACCTCTGTGGCCTTGCTTGAACTACTCCCATCGCGGCCATGGGAAGCTCCTCCAGGTGCCTGAACACACGTCTCCCTCAGTTCCAGACCTGGGTCTCCTGGAAGGGCACAGCAGGGTGGGGAGAGGCACGGGCAGGGTCAGGGAACATCCCGGGTCCAGCTCGAGGCTGAGTGTAGGTGTCAACAGAGCAGTCAGTGCGAACAGCTCAGGAGAAGCCCGTGGGGTCAATTTTGGACACATGGACTTTGAGGTCCCCATGAACTCAGCATCTTCCCAGTGTCCCCAGGAGCTGGGGAGGTCACTGTGCCTTCAGAGAAGCATCCATGCAATGCCCACTGGGCGCAGGGCCCTGGGCTGGGAGCTGTGGAGGCCGCAGACGAACGAGAAACACCCCTGCCCTCAAGCAGCAGTTTCGATGGGCACAGACCAGCTCAGGCGCTGCCCGGGAGGCAGAGGTGGCAGAGCTGGGCAGGGCTGCAGGGGCTCGGAGAGCACAGCTTGGATGGACACAGGCTGGCTCAGGTGCTGCCTGGGAGGCAGAGGTGGCAGAGCTGGGCAGGGCCACAGGGGCTTGGGGAGCACAGATGGAGAGCCACGCTGTCACCTGCATGCACAGGGTGGGCTCTAGCTCATGGGCAGAGCCAGGGGAGTGGTGGACTCAGTGGTACCCCAGAGAAGCAAGGGTCCGGCTCTGTTGGGCTTGTGAGGCAGCTGCCACCTCCCCACACAGCCCCTCCCCTCTGGTTCTGCTATGGGCACAGTTTCCGTGAATCTGCAGAGGGCTGAGATGAAGCACACGTGGTGGACGCACGGGGCCCCAAGGCCCTAAAGCCTACATCAGAGATGAGGTGCTGGACACAGAGGCCAGGGAGACACCTACAGGTGGGGAGGGCTGCACAGGGAGGCTGAGGGTCAGCCTGGAGCATGTGGTGCGGGCGTGGAAATCCACATGTCCACCAATCATGCCATGCTCCCCAGAACCTGTCCCCATGCTTGGCGGTGGCCTCTCACCTGCCTGCAGCTCTCAGGAGGATGCACTTCCTGCAGCCTGGGTCAGAGGCAGCCTCAGCGGAAGCGGCTGCCTTGGTTTGCAAGCGAGGCCTGAGAACTGGGGCAGCCTTTAAGTCACTCCCACCCTGCCTGGCCCCTTCAGGTCCCCAGCCCAGTGGCTGAGCCCAGAACTCCCCTCCCTGCCCCGCCTCACAACCCTTTTCCCGCTGTGCCCCAAGGAGCAGGCTGGGGCAGGGGCCAGGACAAATGGGCAGGAATCCTCTGATGCCAACCTCAGTGATGTCCCCAGCAAAGCCTGCGGGCCCCAGCTTGGCAACAGGTCAGACACCATCGCCCAAGAAAGCACTGCCAAAGTAGGGGCCCACTTCCTGCCCCTGACGGAGAGGGCACTTCAGCCAGCGCTGAGGGCGGGTGGCCCCTGACTCCCGGGCTGAGCCCTCCTACTCACCCTCCTCCTCCAGAAAGAGGCCAGAGCCACCAGTTCTCACCGCATGCCTCCACTGGAGGCTCAGGGGGTGAGGTTCAACTGCCATTGCATTATCACCCCCTCCGCCCAAATGCCCTCTCCCCAATTCCTCGATTCATTCATTCACTCAACAAACCTTTAGTGCCAGGGACAGGGCTGTTAACAAAAAGACCCAGAGTCCCAGTCCTTGTGGAGACTATGATCCCCCCTGACAAACTACCGTCCTCAACCCAGCACCACCTCCTCCAGGAAGCCATCCCTGATTACACAGCCCTGTTCTGAGAGCTCCTTCTTCTGCTGTCTATCCCTCTCAGGGCCCAGACCACATCCGCTTCACCATGGGTGGCCTTTCGTGACTGGCCTCTGCCTCTCTGAAGCCAGCACACAGACAGGCCTCAGCAAGTGGTAATGGCCACCGCCGCCACCATCGTCATCAAGGAGGGACAAGACTCCTCGGGTCCTCTGAACCCCTGCTCTGGCAGATGGCACCTAAATGTTACCAGCACCCTTGCAGGTGGGCCTTGCTTTAGGAAAACTGGGCATTTGAAAATCCTAACAGCCCAAACTTGCAGGTAGAGGACTCTTGTATGGGTCTCCCTAAGATCCTCGTCCTGCAGGGACACTGCAGCCCTGCTTAGGTGTGGGGAAAACTCTGCAGGGACACCTGTCTGCCATCAGTCCCCGAATTCCGTGAGCTCACTGCTGTGACCTCACATTCTACCTGGAACAGCTTCCATCTGGACTGATTCCAAGAAGGGCATCTGGGGCAATGCTGAGGGGTGTGTGTGTGTCGGGGGGGCTCCAGTGGCCTGGTCCTCAGACCCTCCCCTTGCCCACCTGCATCTCCCAGGAGGGGCAGGCAAGCCCTCCCCAGGACCAGGTATCTGTGGGAAGATCAGCTTCTGGCAGGGACACGGAGTCCCGGCACAGCTGGGAGTAAGGATTCCAGGGCAGCACATAGGAGCCTGTGGCTGGCAGGACAGTTGGTTCCCGTGTCCCCGCCGGGCCTGGAGCGTGAGGGCCTGGACCCTGGCCCCGCAAACCCAGCCCTGTTGCCAGAGCTCCTCAAGCTTCCTTCTGGGGAAACAGCAGACACTGAAGTCCAGCCTGAAGAACTCCTGGCCCCCTCCAGGCCTGGGGTCAGAGTGGAGGCCAAGAGCCAGGGTCAGCAGTGAGGCCTGGACTGTGGACAACTCAGGGCCTTGGATGACGGCCCCCATCTGAAAACGGGCGTGATAATGGCACCTACCATGGACGAAGATGACAGCAGCACCATGATGCCTGGCTCTGGTGGGTGGTCTCTCCCCAGCTCCCAGCATGCCCTCTGCTGAGAACAGCTGGAGGGAGGGAGCACGTGGCTATGACCTGACCCTTGACCCCAGCCAGGCTGATGGGATCTGTTCTGGAGGGGAGCCAGGGTGTCGGGGCAGTGCCTTCCCTCCCCAGGAGCACGGGCCATGCCCACCTCTTCCATGTTGTGAGGGTCCACTCACCACCTCACACGCTGGCCCAGAGTGTGGCTAACATGTTTGCAGTACGAGGTGGGGGGTGGCCCTGGGGAGCTGAGGGAGAGGACAGCCACGGGCTCTAGCCTCTGCCTCAGGCAGAAACACAGCACATGGGGCCCTAGAGGAGTCCAGTTCCCACTGGGCATTCCAGGAGGAGGGCGGGCAAGGTCAGTGCCCCTGCCCCACCTGCCTGGACAGCCCAGAGGCCACAGGCCGGCCCAACGCCACCTCCCGCCCAGCCCTGCTCCACACGCAGTCCGCAAGCTCAGAAAGCAGAACGCAGGCTGGCTGCCCCGCTGGAGCCTCCTGGGTACCTGAGCTGGCTCTGCCACCTCTGGCCTCAGGAGCTCCAGCCCTGCTGCTCCCTTAATGCCAGCTCCTTCCTGCCTCAGGGCCTTTACACCTACTGTTCCCTCTGCCTGGAATGCTGTTTCCCCAGCCAGCATCACACTTCTCACTGGGCGTGAACTCACCTCTGCAGAGCGGCTTTGCTGAGTGCCCCACCAGCTGATGTCAGTCGACCTGACTCATGGAGACCCCAAGTGTGTCTTCAATGGCTGTGACCTTTTGGAAGCAGATTGCCAGGCCTTTCTTCCAAGGTGCCCCTGGGTGAACTTGAACGGCCAACTTTTCGGTTAGCAGCTGAGTGTGTTAACCACTGGCACCATCTGGGGACTTCCCAGCTGCCCGCAATCTTCATCCCGTCACCCTACTCACAGCACACCTGCCAGCACCATCCACTTGTGTGCTGTCTGTCTCTCCCACTAGACCGTAAGCTTGTGTCCCCAGTGCCCGGAATGGCACACAGCCAGCGTCAATGAGGGTGTCTGTACAAATCAAGGCTCTCCAAAGGCTGTTGGTTACCCGCGCCCTTGGGCCCGTACAGAACTACCCCTGGGGTGGGGGTGGGGGGCTAAAGTTCCGGCTGAGGGCTGAGCCAGCCCCCCCGCCTGCCCGCCCGAGGGTCCCGTGCCTTGTACCCCTACGGTAGATGGCTGTCATGAGGGCTGGCAGTACCCAGGCTCAGCTGCAGGCAGACACTGGCTTGATGCCTTTATCCCCTGCTTAGGTCCTGAGGGTTTCTGAGCCAGGGACAGTTCCAGGGGAGCAAGACTGTGACCAACAGGCCAGTGGCTGGAGCCCAGCACCGCTGCCCTGGCATTAGCCTGGGGTGAAGGGATGCAATGTCTGCCTGGGCTCTGAGAGGCCCCAGAGCTGTCTTCAGGAACCGCCCCCAACCTGTCTCCACCCTGTGCCCTCTGCTCAGGCTGAAGAACCGCCCTGAACCAGTCTGTGTGGTGCAGGGAGGCCAAAGAGGCCAAGGGAAACAAACAAGGAGGCCAAGGGAAACAAGCCATTCTTGAAGGACCTCTGACGGTCTCCCCTTCCCAAGCAGGGAGGGTCAGAGACAGGTCACGGCCTTCATAATGGACTCCTCCCTCCAGGACAGCCCCGTCAATGGAACCCCAACTCCAAAAGCGACCCCCCCCAGGCTGAGCCCCACAGCACCTGGCAGCCCCGCTCTGACCTGCCGAGTCAGAACCCACAACTGCCTTAGAGGCACTGCAGCTCCGCGTCCAGCCTGTGGGCCCATGTGACCAGACCTCGAGGCCGGCCGTTGCGCTCCAGGCCCGACAGACAGGAGGGAGGCTGTCACCGCACCTGGGGCTGTTACCCCACTGGAAAAACCACACCCAAGGGCACTAACCCCAGGGTAGCCCAGGCAGGAGACCGCGTGAGAGACCCCGTGTGAGACCACGTGAGAGTCTGGAACCCCGGGCAGGGCCAGACAAGTGGCTCCTTGCCTCCTTTATTTTCTCCTCTTCCATCCACTTAGCTAACCTGCCCCAAGGGGAACAGCTGCGAGCGCCAGTCCATGGCCACAGGGCCCGAGGGGGCTACAGCCTTCGGGAGCCCAGCCAAGGTGTGGCGTGGCCGTCTGTCTCCCCCAAGCTGCTGCATTCCTAGGAACGCCCAGTGTGGTGGGCAGCTGCTGATGTTGCTGCCAGCACCCATTCACCGGACTTGCAATAACACCCACCGGGGGCCTCCCCTCCCGTAGGGTGTGCAGGGCACCCAGGACCCAAGTTGACCAATCCACACCTCACAGTGCTCCTGGGCACAGCGATGGTTCAGGGCTCAGAGCCCAGGAGGTGCCAGGAGCCGGCTGGCTTCCTGCTCCCTGCTGCTGAGACCCTGTAAGAGCGAGGGAGGACGGTCCCAGCCACCTCGCTTCAGCCCCTGACCAGCAAGAACACCTCTGCACCTTTCAACCACCGGGCTCGGAGGGAAGGTTGCTGTCACCTGCAAGCAGGAGTTCTAGCAGAAAACGCCGCCGCTGCCATCCTCTGTGAGATGAGAGGATGAGGTGCCCCGACACCTGGAGAGGGGGGCCGGGGCAAAGCCCTCAAAGGCCACCCTGGGCCACGGGGCACCCACAGCATGTGAAGACTGGCCAGCCCAGGCCTTGGTTTCCAGGAGACTTCCTAAGGCTCACGGTCGACCCCGGGGGTGTGCTTGTCCAGACGGGAGGCCTCAGAGAGCAGGAACCTACACTCCAGTCCTCTGTCCTCCCTCTGGGCTCCAGACCCCTCTGGCCGGTCACCAGTCTGCCCAGGGTACCAGGGGCCGTCTGACTCAAGACGCCGTCTGCAGCTTCAGCTACAGCCGACAGGGCTGGGAAACGGCATTTGTTCTCCAACGGGGTGGGTGCCTGGGGTTTGCTAACGGAAAGACGACAGGCTGAAGTGGGACTAGAGTGGTGCCGGCATCTAGCAAAAGCAAGAGGCTGGAGAGAAAGAGCCACCCCCACTGTGTCCACCCCGTGGGGTGGCGTCGTCGGGGACCCTGACCAGCTCTGAACTCTGGGCTCCACATCCCCGGGGGCCTGGGTAATGCACTTGCTTGGATGTAGACACGACTAGCAAGTCCCTGCAGGCCTGGGGTCAGCTGTGGAAGGAAGACCAGGAGGCGCCCGAGGCATAGAACTCCACGCGGCTGGGCCAGTCGCCATCCCCACTGCCCTCTTTGTCCTCGTCCGAGTCATCGTCATCCCCACTGGATGCCCCGAAGACGGCCCCAGCCAGGTAAGCCGGCTGCCCCAGGGACCCCCGGCCCTGCTCCTCCTCCTCCTCCTTGCGCTTCTGGGCAGCCAGCTGGCGGAAGCAGAGGCTGCAGACACGCAGGGGCTTGGGCGAGAGGTGCGGCAGGAGGAAACGCTCCCGGGAGCACTCGGCGCAGACCACGAAGCCACACTTGCGGCAGTGGTGGCGCCGCGTGAGCGCCGAGAAGCGGGTCTGCGTGCAGCGCATGCAGATATCCGTGGCCTTGTCGGGGATCCAGGGCGCCGCGTGCTCCGTGGTGGGCTGGCGGCCCGTGGCCAGCAGCTGCCGCCGCACACACTCCTCAATGTGGCTGATCCACTCCTGACGCTCCGTCACGGAGGCGGCCGACACCACGAAGGACTTCTTGGCCGTCTTGATCATCCAGCGGTTCTTGGCCTGCAGGGTCTCGGGCAGCGGCTCGAGCGTCACCTCCTCCAGCGGGATGATGTGCTGGCTGCGGTACTTGCGCTTGCTGAGCACGATGCTGCCGTACACCAGGATGTCGTTGAAGAGGAAGAAGATGCGTGGCTTGGCCTTCTTGCGGCACTCCTTGGTCAGGACGCCCTCACCCAGCAGCACGCGGCCTGGCAGGGCCAGTGGCTGCCCCGACGCCCCGAAGCAGCTCTCCACGGCGGCGATCCGCTGGCTGTTGATCTCTGTGTTTGCCAGGTGGTCCACCATCTCTGCGGGCTGCTGGGCTATAGGAGGAGAGGCCGACAAGGAGGCGTTAGCTTGCCCCAGCCCAGCCTGATGATCACAACTCCACCACCACCCAGCCATCCACTCGCTCACCAAACCAAACAACCACGACCAACTTACTACCTGACTGCAGTCCAGCAAACCCACCCCACCACCCAAACTCACCACCTAAGGCTTGGTCCCCCAGAAGCGGACCCTGGAGACAAGGAATGCATGAAGTTATCGGAGGTGAAGGAAGGCCCAGGAAGGGGAATGTGGAAGCTGGCAGGGACAGAAAGGCAACAGTAAAGACTGTGTTACTTAGCAGCTTACTGCTGTGGGCAGCGAAGGCTCGATCCCGCCCCGGAGAAACTGGGAAGACAGGCTAGAACAGCCTCAACGCTGTTCACCCAAGCGGCAAGGAAGCCGGGAAATTCATCCGCCAACTCACGCCAGCCACTGGTCGTGCACTGCTGCCAGGGGTGCAGGGGTGTTAACCACCCACACGTCCAGCCTGCCCCTTGGGTGGAGAGGTGCAGGCGCTGTAGCAGGGCACTGCTGGCATGTACCAGAACAGTGGGTGCCAGACATGGGTGTCTGCAACCCCACCCAGCCACTGACCACACTCATCCTTCACTGACAGTGCAACCCAACCGCTCACCCAACAAAGCCAGCGGTCACCACCATCGTCACAGCCACCATGTCCTGAGCACCTCCTCCATGCCGAGCACGACTTTATTCCATGTAATCTTCACACCAACCCCATGTTACAGGAGGGACACTGAGGCTCCGTCAGTGGTGGGGACCCCAGAGCTTGCACCCCTGGCATCCGTGCTGCTGCACTGCCTTCCCCGACAGAGCGTGAGGCCCAGTCTGGCCCCTCTGCTGGGGTGCCCTCCTCTACTCGAGCGCTACATGTTGGAAGCCTTACAGCTCATCCCACCCCAATTCTAGGCTGACTACACACTCCCTTTCAACCCACCCGTCCGGTGGCTTTGAAGGCCACCCACTCCCTAGAACAAGAGTCAGCAGAAGATGGCCTGAGGGCCAAATCCCAAAGCCAGCCAGCCTCCTGTTTTTGTAAATAAAGTTTTACGGGAACACAGCCACCCTCATTCATTTACAATCCTCCGTGGTGTTTTCGTTCTGTAGTACATAGGGTCGCTGTGAGTCGGAACCCACTCAATGGCACCTAACAACAACAACAGTGGTGTTTTCAATCGGCCTCATATGATTCAAAAGCTCGACAGTGCATACGGAATATCAAAGAAGAGTTGATGCTTTGTGGAGAATACTGAATATACCATGGACTGCCAGAAGAACGAACAAATCTGTCTTGGAAGAAGTACAGCCAGAATGCTCCTTAGAAGCAAGGATGGGGAGACTATATCTCACATACTTTGGACATGTTATCAGGAGGGATCAGTCCCTGGAGAAGGACATCATGCTTGGTAAAGTGGGGGGTCAGGGAAAAAGAGGAAGACCCTCCACAAGATGGACTGACCCAGTGGCTACAACAATGGGCTCAAGCGTAACAATGATTATGAGGATGGCGCAGGACTGGGCAGGGTTTCGTTCTGTTGCACACAGGGTCACTAGGAGTTGGAACCAACTCGAGGGCACCTCACGACGACAACATGGTGCAGAGCTCGGCTGCTAAGCAAAAAGCCAGCAGTTCACATCCGCCAGCTGCTCACTGGAAACCCTATGGGGCAGTTCTACTGTGTCCTGTAGGGTCGCTATGAGTCGGAACGGGTTTGGTTTGTTTGGTAGGGCCGCTCTCACGCTACGACGGCAGAGCTGGGTAGCGATGATGTAAAGCCTAAAATATTCACTATCTGGCTCTTGACAGAAAGTTTGCTGCACCCTTCTCCAGGAGATCATCCCCTTCTCTTTTTTTCTTCTTCACAGGACTTACCAGGCCTGATGTTTTCTTATCTAGTCATTGTTGACTTGTGTACTTTCTCCCTCTCCCGCTCAACTCTAAGCTCCATGAAAACAAGAGCGTTTCTTTTTCTTCATTCACCGCTGTATCGCAAGGCTTGGAACAGGGCCCAGAATGCAGTAGGCGCTTAATAAGTGGCAAGTGAATGAATGAGCCTTTCCAGAGATCTCAAGGTCTGACCACGTATGACTCAGCTCTTCGCTCTGAAGAGGAAGTGGGGGAGCACTCCCCCTGCCGCCACGTGCACACATGTACACAGGCCCAGGCAGCACACCCGGGCCGGCTGCTCACACACAGGTTTCTGGATCACTGAGCTGAAGTTCCATAAGCCAGGCCACCTGTGGGAAGCCAGAGGGGCCCCAGCACGGGGGCTGGAGGCATTGCATGAGGGAGAGCTGGGCCGCCGGAAGTCACATACCACCTCCCCTTTCAGACCACAAGGCGTTCTAGCGACTGCTGCCCACATCACCTTATGTAAGAACCACTATTTTTAGGTGGCTGATCTTGGCTACGTCTTGCAAACCTAGCGGATTATCAGGGACAGCCCTGGGCTGTCCAGCCTCGGCTGATTACGCGGTCCCTGACTGTGGACAATCCAGCAAAACCAAGATTCTCTCCCACGACATTTCTGAGCGTCACCTCCAAGTCCTACAGGGTGGGATGGCTTAGATAAGGTCTCTGCTGCAGGGGAGCTCAGAGTGCAGCTGAAGGGGACCCACAGAGGGCAGTGACAATGGCCCTCCAGTGTGCTGTGTGGAATGGAAACACCCAGAGACAACCTAAATGTGTATCGTCAGGGAAAGAATAAAACGGGACATCATACAATGGAACACACTGAAGACACCCAACCTACGGGGACCAACACAGAGTGACGGCCGACAGCAAAGGCTGAGCAAGACACGGCTCACCGCAGAGAGCATGTATCATGTGGCGCCATTCACAAAGACATTACAAAACACGTTTAAGGTGTTGAAGAACGAGATCTGTGGATAAAAACAGGCAGGATGGACACAAATCAAGTCAGGATAGAGTGGTCTGGGGGGAGGGACCTGGATGTGACCAGGAATGGGCAGGGGATCAAGAAGTACTTCACCTTTATCTGTGATGTTTTAATTCTTTTATTAAAAACTGCAGCAATCAATGTGATGAAATCCTAATTCTTGTCAATTCTGGGAGATGGGAACTCTGTTATGGACTGAATTGTGTCCTCCAAAAAGAGACACTGAAATCCTAACTTCTATATCTGTGAATGTGACTTTATTTGGAAATACATCTTTGAGGATATTATCAGTTAGGTTTATATGAGCTCATATAGGAGGAGGGTGGGTCCTAATCCCTTCTGAGTGCTGTTTTATAAAAGTGGAGAGTGAACGTGGGGGGAGGGCATGTGACGATGAAGTTACCGGGAATGCCAAGAACTGCCGAGAGTGAGACATGGAACAGTTTCTCTCTCAGAAGGAATCAACATGGCTGACACAATCAATCTCTGTTTCTTAAAGCCACCCACTTTGTGGTGGTTTGTTACAGCCCCTCTAGGAGATGCAGATACTCTTTCTGAATTTAAGGTTCTCCGAGAACAGAATTACACCTACTCCTCACTTATCGACGATCGC